TCCCCAGACAAGAAGGTGAACTGAAGGCCACAGAGAAAGAACGCGAGAACTCTTTCCCCCTGGTCACAGCACCAAGGATGAGGCAGCTGTCAGCTCAGTCAGTGGGTAGGAAGAAAACAAGTAAAACTTTAAAGGATTCTTAAAGGTCCACGGTGGGCTATCGGGATGGTTCAGATCAGAACAGGGGGATCCAAGGACACTGGAAGTCCACACCATCCACAGCTTCTTTTCCCTTGGCGTTACCAGGTGCTGGTGAGAAAGATGAGGGGCAAGCTGGGAGGACTGGAGAGCCCCGTCATGATGCAGGCTGCAGGGCCTGACACGGTTTCAGGGTGGAACAGGCCCACCAAAAGGCACTCATCTGTGTTCTGGTCACTGTGTGGCCGTGAGGTGGTGACTGGCCACTACCAGGGTATAAGCACAAGGCCACAGACCCTTCTGACTCAGGAAATGAGCAACTTCAGTCTCTGCCAAGACTTCTTATCTCCATCAGGAGGCAAAAGCCATCAGTGACTGGGGGTGAGGCAGGAGCCCACACGCTGGTGCCAGGTGAAGGGCTTTGCCTCTGGGGAAGAACAGAAGCTTGCTCACACCCTGCAGGAACTCAAAGGGGAGGCACTCTTGGACCTGCTTTTGCCAGAGATACACACTGATGTGGAGAAGAGGTCTACCACTGCCAGAAGAGGAGCAGCAACCTCACTTATGCCTAAAACTCTTCACTGACACAAGGCCAAGTTCAGCCACCTGCCCTTTCAGACCTGTGCTATAGACTCTTCTGTGATGACAGAAATGTTTTATAACTGTGCTGTCTGATACAGGAGCCACAAGCTATGCATTCTATGAATCAGCCTTAATTTTTATTAAATTCCAATTCCATGTATTTACAATTAATTACAATTACATTTCCAATAGCCACATGTAGCTTGTGCCTAGGACACTGCAGCTCCAGACCTGAACAAAGGCAGAGGCAGAATTTGCCCACCACTGGCCAAGGGCAGGAATGCTGAGAAAGTTCCATTTCAGAGGCTCAGGTACATAACACCTGCCTCACTCTATTGCTTGAGCAGGAGAACCAAGAGAGCTTTCTGTCTCACTCACATCTCATGCTGAGTAACATGTACTAGCAGACTACAACCAGTAAAGGGACAATGACAGAGAGAGAAAAACTTCTACTGTGGCAAAGGCATACAGCATCTGTTTGGTAGAGGAGAATTACTGTAGAAAACCCCTGAACTTGCAGACTTCCCAGTAAGAATGTCAAAATTGCAGCCCAACATGGGAGAAGCTTAAAGCCCACAGTACCTATAGCAACAATAAAACCCAAAGCTCATTCAACTATTGACTAGATTGGCTCAACCCCTTACATTAATGGCCTGGAAGAAAGAGATGTGTACCTATTTTTAGGTATAAATAATATTTAGCTTGGTATCTACTATTGTTTTACATACAGTAATTAGGTACTGAATAAAAATTTTGTGTGACATACAAAAAGCAACTCACCCAAACCTATTATCAACAGGCAGAACAGACAACACAACAAGATCAAAGGATGGCCCAGATGGTGAAACTCTCAGACAATTTAAAATAACTATAATTAATGTGTTAAATAATCCAGTGAAAAGGTGGACAACATGCACAAACAAATGGGTAATTTTAACAGCAATGTGGAAGTAATTTTTTAAAAGCCAAATGGAAATATTAGAAGTGAAAAACATGGTATCGAAGATGAACTCCTTCAACAGGCAGACTGGTAACAACAGAGGAAAGATTCAGTGAAACTGAAATTATATGAAACACAAACAACAAGAAGAAAAACATGGTGATTAAAAATCAAAAAGCAACCAAAGCAAAAAGAAACCAGAAGAGAACTATCAAGAGCAATGGAACAACATCAAACGATCTAACACATGTACTCAAAATCTTCTAAGAAGAAGAAGGAAAGAAAGGGACCAAAGAAGTAATATTTAAAACATAGCTGAGAGTTTTCCAAAATATAGCTATTAATAACAAACTGTAGATACAAGCAGGATGGATACAAAGAAAAACACATCTAGCCCAACATAGTGTTAAAAACCAAAAATAAGGAGAAAGTATACTACATTGAAGGAAATGGATAAAAGGACTTAGCCTCTCCATAAAGGACCAATGACTATTTAGCCTTTTAGTAAAATATGGATTCTAGCAAAATCGTCTCCCACACTTGCAGCCCTTACTGGACCACATAAACAATAACTGGAGTGAAAGCATTTTGTGTTCCCTTGTTAAGGCTTCTGTGCAGTAACCACAGAATGCGAATCTGAGGGTGCAGGCATGGCATGGCATTTTGTGCAGACTAACCAAAACTTCTCAAAGATTTAACTTGCTGAATAGTACAGTTTTTGTTGTTGTTCTTGTAGCAGAATTAAAATGATCTTTTGAAATAGGACAAAAACTCCCAGAATTAGAACTATCTAAATACTAAATGTAATGTGAATACAAAACTGAAACTGGTATGTGTTATGGTCCAAATGTCATAATATCGTTTTTGTATTTGGTTCTATAAAACCCAAGTACTATTGGGAAAAATATGAATTTGCACACATTGTTCCTCTAGAACTTTTTAAAAAAGTCTCTTGGATCTTGATATTAATTAGATTGTATCAGTTGATAATCAGTTTTTGGAAAGCTGCACTAATATGCGAAGAATATCTGTATCCATTCAATGTTTAGGAAACGTAATTTCAAAACTAAAGCTGTCTGTGATAATATACAAATAATGCATGAAAAAGAATTAAGGAAGAGTTTGAGGCAAAACCTGAGAGGCTCAGATCTACTTACCCTGTTCCTCTGGAGTACTCCAGTAATTGTATGGGGTTCTGTCTAAAATCTGGGTGCTTCTAGTTAAGGCCCTGTCAGGTGTTCCCTTAATCAAAGACTGGGATTTGTTTTCTTTAGTGCTCGAGAGCTGTTAAGAGGTACCACCGCACCTGGACACCTCCAGGCAGTTTCCTTGAGTCAAGGCTCAAATATTCAAATGAACATGAGGCTTTTAAATTTGGGGTTGTTACTGTAGTTTGTTTAGTTTAAAAATACACAAGAAAGTATACCAGTCAGTAGAGTCAAAATATTTAAGCAAATGAAAGGCAAACATATATACTAGGTAAGGGGGTCGACTCTCCAGCTGATCTGCTTGGGTTCCCATCTCAGTTGGGCTCCTTACTGACTCGTGCCCCAGTTTCTCATTTTTTAAAAAAGGGATCATAATAATATCTACCTTATAGAGGCCTCAAAGAACTTTTAAATTTAAACAGGTTGTTAAGAGATCTAAATTTTGGAAGGCTTCTTAAATGAATATGAGGGTCCAGACAAGCACCTGGCATGGGATTAGTGGTCTTGTATTTATAACTATTTGTATTGGCCTCATTAATAAACTTTATATTAAAACAAAGTAAAAAACTAATTAACTGAATTGGAAATATCACACTCTCTTGAGAGGACCCAAAAGGTAATTTTTTCCTGCAGTGATTTTCTTCTGTCATATAATCCTATCTATCATCAGTAATCATGTGCGATAATATAGTTATGTACCCCATCAAGCCCAGATATTGGTTAATATTGCTAGTTTGGCTGAGAAGAACCAGGGTCCCTTAGTTTGTACGCTGGCATCTTTAAAACATCTTATTAACACCACTATGAAAACTGCACACATGAGATAACTTCCCAAGCTGAACTAAAAGTAACTTAAATCTCTTTAATAATGTTCAAGGTGAAATAAATATTTAAGTCATATCATTATAAGCAGTCATATTTGTCTAATCCTTTATTGTTTATGAAGTAATTTTATATTCAGTAAGTACTCCAATTACTAATATTCATATAATATAAATATGATGTTATAAACCAGAAGGAGAAACCTGCTATGGATTTGGTTTAATGAGTAGAGAAGCTGCCTCTGTCCTCCACTAGAAAGACAAAAAGAGTGATTTTCTTCACAAGACCTCTGGGGGTATCTTTTATGGCCTACAGAACTCAAGTGGAAGGCCAGAATATTATTATACTGGAAAGGCTATTACTATTATGTGTTTTCTCTAACGTTTTTATTTTAGAGCTAAGGTAAAAAGTGAAATCCAGGAAAGGCTGAAATTAGAATTGCTCTTAGGGGATGAAGCAAGTCTCTTCAAAGCTGAAAAACATGTCATTTATGTACAGACAATAAGCACCTTTAAAAGGCCAGACTGAGAAGGAACGGGGTGGAAGATAATGCAGTGAAAAGAAGGGTAAAGCAAAATCAAGAACTACTCAAAACATCAAATTTCCAAATGGAAAGTTCATATAAACTATCTCACTGTGCCCTAAACAGAATAGTGAGTTAAGAAATGTAGCTGGATGGAGGGTAAGCTGCTCCCAGGTTTTTACATAGCTGGGGAGGCACATGTTTGAGTTTGGGAAAGCCGTATGTAACAGAATGACAACAGTGCAATGAGAGGTGTTGACAAGCTAAAGAACACAGGGCACCCTTGGAAAAGAATGGAAGGCAGCACCCTGTGAAGCAGTGAGTTGTCCTTTCCTGTTTTCTGCCCCTTCCAATAACTTACATTATTTTCAACATCTTTCTTGCAAATGTATTTGCTCATGGGTATTAAATAGTGGTCACGTGCTTACAGACGCCTCTATTCAAGAATGTTCCCATTACTGGCAAACGCTCTGTGAGGCAGCGTCTTATATACTTTTCCGTCTTAAAATGCTGCGATCTATTTATTTGGCAGTTTGCCGTTTATAATTCCTGTTACTCCTAAGCACTTATTCCTAATCCAAAGAATGGGGACCCATTTGGAGTTTGGACTTTTGCTTCTTTCGTTATTTTGTCTTTTTTTAGAATTGATCCCCAAATATCCATCATAAATACAAACATATAATTTTAGATATATCACTTTTACTTTCTCATGTCAAGTTATATGTCTTCTCAAAAAAACTAAGTATAGTTTTATAATAAATATTAATGAGACAGAAAATCATCTTACCCTGGTGTGAGTCCGAATATGCATCTTCAGTCCATCATTTTTACTGAATCCTTTTTCACAGTAAGGGCACTGATAGGGACGCTCGCCTGCAAAGGAAGTCTTCAAGTCAGAAAAAAGTAAACCAGCAAAGCAAGCACTGCCATCACTCCCTCACTTGTAGCCTCATCACCACATACACTCTTGGCACTGCCAAAAAGAGGCTCCCTGCACACCTGGGCTGACACACCGTGGGGGCTTCAGGGTAATGGACTATGCCTTCCCCTCCTGCGGAGAGAGACTGAGCCGCAGAGAGGGACTGAGCCCAGAGTGTGTTTCAATATTGGCCAGGAGCAGGCTTCCTGCGTATTCCTTTTATTTATTTTTATTTATTTTTTTTAAAGACTTTATTTATTGGAGAGAGGGAGTGATTGAGAGAGCACAAAAGCAAGGGCAGAGGGAGAGGCAGACTCCCCTGCTGAGCAGGGAGTCTGACACGGGGCCTGATTCCAGGACACTGAGATCATGACCTGAGCAGAAAACAGACGCTTAACCAACTGAGCCACCCAGGTGCCCTGGCATATTCCTTTTAATACTTGAGCCCAAATTAAATCTCCTGATTTTAAGAATCTCTTAAAAGGATTTTACATTAATCCATTCATTCTGTCACTGTACTACTTATTTCAGGGGTCTTTAATTGGTTTACTGATTCTTTGTTTTAAAAACAAAGACTTCATATTCTCTCTCAGTTGGGGTGATGAGTTTCAAAAGAATTTCACACATTGATACAGGTTAAACAGAACCATTGGCGTTTAATAATTGATCCATATCTGCTGATGTAACTGAGTCTCTTGCATCTAGAGGTCATCATTATTTAGAAAAGAGCCATGCCATTTTTTTTAAAACAAGTAAACATACACATCACATTAAAAAAATTCTATTATGAAACAGAAGAAATGTGACAAAATTTAGTCTCCAGGAGGAATCTGAAGTTACTCTCTAGTCAAAGCCTAATTATTTAGGAAGAACAGTAACTCAAATCACTACTTATTCTTTATTCTCTCATTTAGCAATGCACTTAACACTGCAGGATGCTGGACGCTGCAATCAAAGACGTAAAACTCCCTGTATGTCTTTCCTTTCCCCTCGGGACAGGGCTTTTCATAAGCAGCACATGTTAGTCCTTTATTCCTTCAGGTCCCATTTGATCCTTACTCTTGTTCAATCTGGGTATCACTCACATTACTCCAGCTAACTCCCCTATCAGGTCAACAATGAACTCCTTGTTGCTCCGATGGTCACTTTTCATTGCGGTCTTCCTTGACCTCTCCCTAGTCCCTGACACTGCTTCATAAGATGACAGTGCCATTCTTGAGGGGTCTTGCTCTACGAACTGTGTGTTTTCAGCAGTAACATCACGGGGGAGCAACTATACAGAGGCCCCAGCACAGCCGCATTTTCCCAGCCTCTCCCTGAGAGGGAGCACCCAGGACTCTCCCCTTGAACTGGGCACCATAAAATGATGACAACTATCCAAAATGGAAATAAATAAACCAATAAACAAATAAAGTTACAATGGCAGTAAAGATACAGGACTCTAAAGAACTATCTAGACTTGCCAACTTCTTCATGATATAAAAATCAACCTTTATACTAGGTCAGTAGAAATGGAAATTTTGACCTTATTATAATCACCACCCTAGGAAGGTGTTTCTTCATTGTCAGAAGAATAAGGTGTGTAGAGTCCAATTTATTTGAAAAAAATGGAAAGTATAATCTTATTCTAACACTGAGTTGATAATATATATTTATCTTAATTCCAGACATCTCTGTTGAGACCCAGTCTGAGATAGCCATATGTCAACCAGGTATCTTCATTTGGACATTCCATAAACAGCTGAAATACAGCATTCTGAATTCATGTCTTCAACTTCTGATCCTGCATATCCTGCCCTGATTAGGTATACCACACTCACCCAATTATCAAATAAGACACTTAGCCCTCCAACTTCTTTTTACTCACTGCCCTCTACATTGCAGTCTCTAAGTCACACTGACTGCCCTTCTCTGATATTTCTAGAATCCTCCTTGAGGATGTGGTAAAAATGAAAATAATATTAACAGCAGTAGCAACAGCACTGACAGTAGAAGGAGTAGTAGCAACAACTCTCATTTATTGAATTCTTGACCATCTAACCTTTACCATGCATACCCCCCTCACAAAGAAAGAACTGAAACATACAGCTAAATGCTAATGCTGATGGTGGTAATTCCAGAATCACAGAATTCCAAATAGTTTTTTTTACTTCCTTCTTCATAAAGTATGAAGAGCAAAGTAGTCTTTTAGATTTTCAAAGTTTGTTTTATTCTAGTGATAATGAAGAACACTAAATGTTTAACAAGTCAATCAACAAATCAAATCTAGATTACAAATAAAGCATGCTAAAAACAGTAAAGTGGTTTACACTTACAAAAAGTCATTTCAAAAGTTTTCTAGCAAGCCTAATATAATCTAATATTCGTGGCTATTCTCTCTGTATAGCTTTAGGTGTTTTCTTGCTCTCCAAATACCAACAGAATAGCCAGCAAACAAAAATCAAAGACTCATAGTCATCAGGTGAATTATATGTTAATTAAGCCTAATATAATATATACCAGGTTATTATTTTCTTTCATAATAGCTAAAATGATTAAGCAAGGAAAGAGATATAGTTAAGGAATTTTAGAGAATGGAGCATAACAAATTCATTCCCTACTTTACCTAGTGTCATAATATAGAAATTTTCTCTATAGACATGAAAACGTTACCTTTTGTTAGAAGCACAGATTTTCTCCTTTTTTTAGAATCTGATTGTCCTGAATTTGAGTAATACTTGTCCTCTTTCTAGTTATAACTCTGGGGAAGTTATTCAACCTCACTGAACCTCTGAAAAATGGGATAAATTGTATCTATCTCATAGGGACAGTGACCATATATTCAGGTTTGCCTAAGGCAGTCAGTTTACCCTGTTTATCCCAGAAAAATGATTAACAGTACTCCCTTCACTTTCACTAGTGTCCCAATTAGGACAATAAAAATACCCAGTTAACTATTATGGTTTGAACTATGTCCTTCCATTCATATGTTGAAATCCTAACCTTCTCCCTTCTAAAATGTGTCCTTGGAAATGGTATTTGAGTAATGTGGATCCCTACTCTAAGCTAGCTGGCATCCTTATAGGAAGAGGGCCATGCGAAGACAGGGACACACACAGAGGATGCCATGTAAAGAGCACAGCGATGCTGCCACAAGGCAAAAAACTACCAGAAGCCACGCCCTACACAGATTCTTCCCTAGTGACTTCAGAGGGGATGTGACCCTGCCCACAGCTTGATCTCTGACTTCAAGCCTTCTGAATCCTGAGACGACAAACCATTGTTCAGCTACTCAGTTTGTGGTACTGTGTGACAGCAGTCGTAGCAAACTAACAGTCACCCGATTCACGATGTTAGCTATTATTATTTTCAGAGAGGTATATCTACCTCTCTGCTGCTCATGAGGCCTATGCAAACTACCCAGAGGGAAACTGGTACCTGTCCAGGACTGAATTTCTCTGTCCCATCCCTACTCCAACTCTGAGATCCAGTGATACTGAGCTGGTATGTTTGGGAAACTTGAGGAAGTCCAACTCTACTCATTCATTCTACTCTCCCAGAATAGAACTCCAGTTTTAAAGGATGTCTCTGGGTAAATGGCTTTGATAAACAAAATGCACTTGAAATCTAGAGTGTCTGGTTTGAAAATCAGCCCATACTGTACATGAAACTGCTACCTTCTTTACGCATTTGGTTGGAGCACCTTTGCAGGAATCCTGCCTTAAGACTCTGAGGACAGATTCTCGGTCCCACAGAATCTGAAGCTGCAGGTTACCTGTATAAGTCAACATGCTAATAACTACTAAAGTCATTTGCCTAATTTTCCTATACTAAAAGAAGCTGTTTTTCTTTTTTTCACATTATACATATGATACCTTCCTTCATTATTTCAAATTACTGTGATGAATAATCTCTGGGAAACACTTTTATCTACACATAAAATTATTCTGGAGCAAACAGCGACCAATCTTCAATTTGAGTTAACCCTGAGAATATAAATCTTTCTTACTTGAACACCCCCAGTATATAGGTTCTGATGTACAATATGAAGCAAATCCAAGGAACTACTATTTTTTTAAAGATTTCATTTATTTATTTATTTGAGAGAGAGAGGGAGAGTATGTGTGTGTGCGTGAGTGAGGGGAGGGGCAGAGGGAGAGGAAGAAGCAGCCTCCCTGCTAAGCAAGGAGCCTGACATGGGGCTTGATCTCATGACCCTAAGATCATGACCTGAGCTAAAACCAAGAGTCAGACGTTTAACTGACTGAGCCACCCAGGTGCCCCAGGCACCTGATAGTATCTCTGATAGATTTAGACATTGTCTTCATTTTGTTCAGGCTAATTAAAATGTTCAAATTTGACTAACCTGAATATTAATTAATCTAGGAATTAGCTAAAAACTATAGCTAAAAACCAACCTAAATGGAAATAATAATAGCTGAAACATATAGAACCTCTGTTCTGTTCAGAATGCCTAACGTGCATTAGCAATTTTAATTCTTGCAACCTTATAATCTAGGTATTCTATTCCTAGTTACAAATGAGGAAAGTAAGCCACTAAAGGGATAAGTACTTTGCTCAGGATGACATAGCTATAAAGTGGTGGCATCAGAGTTTTAACCCTTAACTCTTATGCCATTACATAAATCAATAATACGGCTAGTATTTTGCATAAATTAGATTAGCCTTTCTAAAGTTTTTGACAAAAACTCGGCTTCTTGTAATAGCAGTTAACATTAACCAGATCTTTCTGGCTGGTAAATTCAAGCATTCTTTTACTTATCAAAGCTCTTCAAGAAAAAATAGGGGGCAGGTCAGGAATGTGTGTTAGGTCTCAAAGCAGGTCCCAAGTGAATGCAAATACTAACACAATATAAAGCTGTGCATTGAGAACTATATATAGGTAGCCACCTTCAATATTTAGAAGGTAAATACAATACTAGCAAATATCTATGATATTTAACTACCAATAGTC